AAAATTTTTTTTCGTAAAATGACTTTTTTTTGGCCCCGTGAACGTTTTTTTTTTTTTTTTTTTTTTGTATAGCAAATATTTTATATATTATTCAATGAGAAATATCTTTTAGTATATCAGATACAATAGGTGGTAGAACATCTTCCAACCACACTATATCGCGAACGTTTTCATAGACAGATTTTTTTTCTTTGTTAGATAAAACTTAGATATATAAAAAGAATCATGCACTCATACTACTAAAGATTGAAATTCAATGTTAATTGATAAGAGGTTTTCTGAATGGCTCAATATATTCTATTGATAAGAGGTTTTCAATATATACATATTCCAAGACTACTATACAGTGAACAAAAATAATAAAACTACCTTTGTTACAACATACCAAAAATATAAAAGATACAGAGAATAATTACAATAAAGGTAAAATATTTGCAGACCCATAATTCACGTTTTTTATTCTTGTTGACTTTTCTTATTAAGCGGGTACCAAAATGGTTTTATCTTATTTTTTTATGAACATACACTAAAAATAATTATTTACACAAAGTCATGTGCTAAGTTATTTGCTTGGCCTAAATTCATTAAGGCCTAAGGCTGAAACCGCACAATCCATACCGTTTAATGTTGGTGTGACTTTACATTTTAACTTCTTCAATTGTGGTTAAAAACATTCCTTTCACCGGACTTATGCTTTTGTCAAAAAAAAAAATTTAGGTATAATCGCGAAAACCACACTGCACTCACCCCTATCTCAAACTAAATGCACGCTTAGAGTTTAGGAATTTATTTTCTAATATCAAGTGTCTTCTTTCTTTTTCCAGGTTATTTGGTTAACTATGATTTTTGTGTTGTTTGATGAACACGCATGGTTTAGCACAACCTGCTCTTTTGATAGAAAAGCCATTGTGCGGATTTTCCATAATCATGAGCACATTTGAATTGGTTTATCCCTACAGCGGAGTTATTCAATTTTTTCGTACTGTATTCAATTTTATTTAAAATTAGTTATCAGCATATACAAATTTCAGTGTTACCCTCCATGTTAATTAATAGGACATTAGGTACGATTAAACGATATGTAGCAACATTCTTTTCCTCCTATTAATGGGACATTAGATATGATTAAACGATATGTAGCAACATTCTTTACCTCCTAAACTTGTTGTGGATTGGCAAAAATTATTGACAACATTATTTTTTTTTTAATGGAAATTAGCATTAGCATTGTAAGTGGGTGGTTTATTGGAATTTTAAAAAATTGCAACATGAGACTTCTCTATGTTAATTTTGTTCCTAGAGTGATCTCCATTGTTATTTTGGGATGATTTACGAAACGAAAATTCAAATTCAAGAGGTGAGTTGCCCCTTCTTACAGTTCAAATTCGAGTGATGAAATATTTATTTTATTGCATTCTCAAAACTCACAAAGATGTCCCTCGACTTTGGTAAAAAAGTCTAGAAAGTATTCCATCTTACAGTTTTTAACACAATAAGCAAAACTGACAATTAGTACGTTAGGGAAATGATATACATATTTGTGCGCCTAAACGCTGAAATTGCAAAATACAACGATAACCTTAAAAAGTTTCAATATTGATGCCAACAATTATGTAAAAGAAAGATATACTTGTGAACCTTAAAAGTTTCGGCATTAGCATGCCATAAATTAGACCATGGCATCTTTTTTTACCTCATAACATGCTAGTAAAGCTATATTGAAAAAAAAAAAAAAAAAAAAAAAAAAAAAAAAAAAAAAAAAAAGAAGAAGAAGATGGTATCTGTTATAATTTATATCATGACGCAAATGAATTTTAAGAGTAGTTGATCTTATTTTTTCATAATCCTTCACTTATATCTATCCATACAATAGTTTAGTAAATTATTTTCTTATATGGAAAATTCCTTTGACAAAGCACACTAAAGCTAGCTTAATTGGATGTTATGCCTTGTCAGACGCCAGTCCATGTCCATGGATGAACCTTGCATTTTCTTCCGTAATAACATGAGTTTCCTCCAAAAGACTGCATAGAGAAATCAACTCGGATTAGATATTCAAAAAAATAATAATAATAATCAAAGAGGGTTCAGAATTAAACAGATAAAAATAACACAAAACAAAGAAAAACAAACTGAAAAAAAAAAATTTAAAAAAAATTAAAAAGTGGATCAAATTCAAATAATTAAGGAGAATTATAGATAAATACAATAATATCATAGCATAATATCTTAGCAATCTCATAGATGTTAAATGTTGCTCTAATATATCAACTCACGATTTCTGAAGAATCTTGTTTAAAACGGTGGATGAAACGATTGAAGCGCCATCTAAATAGTGTAGCTCATCCTTGATCCTTTCTTGTATTCTTTTGTGGAGTTGTCCAACATTCAGCTTCAGTGGTTCGTCTGAAGCCTTAGTGATGAATATTAATAAATTGTGTCATTTACTTCACTAGTCACATATTATTATTAATAGGATGGGCTAGTCAATAATGGTGCTCAACATGAGGAAGGGTGTGTGTCTATATATATATATATATATACACACACATATATATATATATATATATATGTATGTATATATGTATCTTGCTGTTTTAATTATTGGCAATGACATTGTAGATATTTTCATCGTGAGATGAAGGGTGAAAAATATAAAAAAAAAAATGAAAAGAGTAGTGAACTCGCATAACAAATTAAAAGTTATGAAAAGTTCGATTCAGGGGTATTTTTCAAAACTTTTTTAAATCATGGATAATTTATCAAATTAAAAGTTTAACGGATAACTTGCGAATTATGAAAAGTTCGGAAGGAGAGGTGCGCCCAAATACCTTTTTACAAAATGACTTAACATTGAGAATTAGTTCATGAAAATTAACTACTATTGTGTACTCTATTTAATGTTAATAGTAGTGCTATAATGCTTATAGTCCTGGTTACTTACCAAAACCCATCCACAAGAATCTGCGTAGGATGGTACGTGAGCTGTATACGCAATCACATCTGCAATTGAAATGCACAGTTTTCATATAAATGTCGACTTCTGATGAGTAAGAAAAGTAATAATAGGAACTAGAACATGAAAATTAAAGGAGGTGATCACTTTTGAAGACATGTTTTATGGTGTTGTATATTGATGTAAAGATCTGCGTGTGTGAAAGAATTCCCGCTGGACCAGCCTGTAAATTCAAACAATAAAAGAAAGGAAAATTGACTTTGAAAGCTTAAATAGATAATTAAAAAATGCTAGATATATATGAAAGTTATTAACAGCAATTAGAATACAAAGTCAGACCAAGAAGAGACAATATATGATTAAGGAGTAATTAATTAGTTGGTAATGAGATATTATTATTTCAACATAAAGAACTTACTTGTGTGACAAAGATACCGTTGGGGTTGAGCTTAGGCTTTAGCACTCGCTCATAGAAGGATTTCGTGTAAAGTTCATTGCAAGGCCCTCCTTCAAGTGGATCTGCCAAATCTCCTATTATCACGTCAAACTTCTCTTCACTCTTCTCTAACTCATCCCTTCAAGTAACAATGTAAATGACTATTTTTATTGTCTGTTATATGTAATTCCTTCTGATTGTGATTGAACTCCCGTCAAATCCTATTTTGGTCCTTGATTTTAAAAGGTCACAAAATGAGTTCCTCGTCTACTAAATTATGTCAAATCTGTAAAAATCTCACATGAAAAAGGCACAACTCTCTTAACAATCGTGTCCTGTTACTTTAATTACGAAATTAATTTTGACTAAACCGCAAATGGTCCTTACGTGCTTTTTCATCGAGAATTTAACAATCAAATGGATATATGACTAGTTTGGGACAACTTTATAAATCAAAAACTCATTTTATAGACATTTAAAAGCTAGAAACCAAAAATAGAATTTAGCCATTTAATTCAGGTACCAAAATAGAATTTAGCTTCTAGTTTCAACTTGAAGGTCAAATACAATTCAATACACAAATGTTGGCTTAGTCAAAATATACGGACTTGGCATCATTAATTGCAATATGAAGCCTTTCGTCACAAAACGCCTCCTGATTTGCCGTCATTTGTGCACGGCAGAATTGAACCACCACCTGCAAATTGCAACATATAAGTTTTTATCTACTTTTTTTCCTTTTTTTCGGTTATAAAGAGAAATTGCATATCATTGTAGTGATAAGCAATGTACGCTGTCAATGTCACACATGACAACTTTCTGTACATCCTTGTGCTTTAGTGCCTCTCTTGCCGTAGACCCTTCTCCGCCTCCCATTATATAAACAGTTTTTGGACTGAAAAATATTGCTCCAAAAAAGACATGAACATTAGTAATAAAAATATTTTAATTAAAAATTGAAGCAACAAAGATTAGCTGCTAGTGTTGTGTTCCGTACTTGTCATGGATCAAGAGAGCAGGGTGGACCAAGCACTCGTGGTAAACAAACTCGTCTTTTTCAGCACTTTGCATCTTCCCATCAATCAGCAGAACCTAAATATAAAGAAAATAAAATACAATTGAAATATCTCTATATATATAATATCAATAATTATATGTGTGTGTTTGTGTATACACAATAAATATATATATATATATATAGCTAGTTAACTAATCACCTTTCCGAACCGCTTTGTATCCAAAAGAGCTATGTCTTGGAATTCACTCGTTTCTGCATGCAATACACTGCAGCCAAATATTGTGCCATACAAGTTATAAAACATACCAAGTTTTTTTAGCTTTTAGCATTTGTGCCCGTAAATCCTTTTTGTCATTCGGAACAATATTTGTTTTTTTTTTCTTTAGCAATTTAGTCCTTAAATTTTAATAAGTAGCAATAAATTAACTTCGTTTTTTAGTGGTACTTAAATTTGAGAAAAATTTATTTCTAATTTATGGGGAACTAATTTTTAAGGACGAGAGTGCAAAATTGGAGAAGCTTTTGGAGCGCAGGTATTTTACTATTATGTCCAAAATTTTAGATTCCCGTTAACGATATATGGAGTTAATTGCTACTATTTTGTAAATTCAATAAATTGTCAAAAATAAAAAATAAAAAAGAAAGTGTCAAGAATTTCAACGAGTACGTATAAATACTAAAAACAATTTTTTAACTGTATAAACGTAAAATTTGGCCTCTTAACTCAAAAAAAAAAGTGATATCATTACATTTTACTGGAAGAAAAATGATAATACACATGCAATATTGTATTGTACCTATTCAAAGAGAAAGACCATTTGAGATCATCTTTCAAGCTGCTCTTCGAACCACCCATCGTCATGACGATGCTGCGGATGATGATCATGATGATCAGACGTCTCTAATGGGTTCTGATCACCATTAATATAATTCTCTTGTGACTCGTCAGAATCAGGGAATCCATTCGAAGAAATTACATCAATCTGTTCACAGCCAGGAACAATAAGAGGGACGTAGAAAACAGAGAACGCAGCAACCAAAAATCCTCACATTTTTGTATTTTGACAATGGAAGATATATATATATATATATATATATATATATATATGAAAACAGGTCTCGCACTGAGTGCTAAGCAGTATCGCAAAGAGTAGCCGAGTATGGTTGATATATATAATCTGTTCTGTCCAACTTTGGCAGCGTCACCTGCCATCAAAATTGCCAGCTCATCAACAATTCATGCTGCGGGTCCCACGTTCTCATGACACGTGGCGAGCTGTGGATGCATGCAAGATGGTGTGATTGGTCGAGACCCGAGTGTAGGGACTTGACGAGTCAAGAGAATCAAAAAGAGGATAAGGCTTGAGTTTTGTAACGGTGATTTACTCACCATAACCAACGCATTTGACACTTTGACCTTGAGTAGTGATATGAGCGTTTCAAAACTCGTTGTCTATATATATATATATATATATATATATAAAGGATGCATGCATGGAAAGAGTTGCACCAGGACACCAAATTTTCAAAAGAAAGAGGAGCACCATATCCCAACTCTGGTCGGGTGGGATTAAATACGAGTTGCCCCACCTTATGAACCTTAAATGATGGGGCCAACCTCACCCTCACATTACGACTCGTGGGTGTTACGATAGTAAGCACTTTTCAAAGAAAGAAACATAATTTTTTAAGAGTTTATATTAGTTGGCCACGTTTTTTTTTCTTTTCCTTTGTTGCGGCTCCCCTCAACTCCATCCATTTGGCACGTTATTTTTGAGGTAAACTATAATGGTTGAATAGAGTTTTATTTCTATTCATTTTACCGATTTAAATTTAAAATTCATATTTTATTAAAATAAAAAACTCTAAAAACAATCATATTTAATTTTTTTATTAAAATAAAAAAAAAAATTTACATAAAATTACATATCAACTCGAATCAACAAACTAAACAGTCTTAAACTTTAGTCGCCAATAGACCCCAAATTATTTTGTAGGTGACAAGTTGGAGAACTTTTGCCACCATCCGCAATTTTGTTATTGTCGCCAATGTATAAAGAAAAAAAAAAAGAAAAAACCATAGATCGACGAGCAAGTCGGAACACATTACAGACTAACCCAAGGAATGATGATCAACATTAAGGAATAATGAAACAAAAAAGACAATTAATTATAACAAAACTTCAGAAGCGTCTAGGACTTGTAAAAACATTATGCCTTTGTCTTCAGTAACTAACTCCGCATTAAGAAATCAAAATTTCAAGAGACATATAGCGTTGCATCGATAGTTCAAGACATCAAAGAAAGACTTTTCATTCAAGCAACTGGAACTGGGACTGGGAGGTCGATATCGGCGGGCGCCAAAAGAGGAGCTGACCTAAGGTACTCATCTTCCTCTTTGGGAGGGTGGATAGTGACAACATCAGGTAGGGGAGTTGTAGGACCCTGCTTTCCCTTGGGATCCCAGTCAAGCATAATCTTGACCTTGATTCCAAGAACACCCTAGTTGGGGAAAAAAACAAACAAACAAACAATCAGGAAAATGATATATAGCAACTTTTAAAATTTAATGCCGACAACAATTGAAACAGGGAGAATTAAACAAACCTGTCTGAGAAGAACGTGTCTGACAGCAGAGTCAATGTATTCCTTAACTGGCTGACCAGAGGAGATCATGTATCCATCCTTGAATTTCATTGATTTGGCACGCTGTGCCCTGAGCTTTCCACTGACAATAACCTATTTCATCCAAAAATCCATAATAATTCAATTAAAAGAGAGTGTAATATAAACCAGAGATACAAGTTAAAATGCAGCTAAAGAACGTACCTCACAACCCTTGGCTCCACTTTCCATAACAAATCTCAAAACACCATAGCAGGCCCTGAAGGAAGCAATGGGAAACGTTTCAGCCAAACATAGATATCACATGTCAACTAATATACATGAATATGATCTACAACTACAACCAACAGAATCATATAGATGCCGAGTTAACAGTGTCTATGACCTCTCAATCAATAGAATAATAACTCAATATCAACAAGAGATGAAAATAAAATTGAAAACACACATTAAAAACATTAACTTTATTTGATATAATTCTCAGCATGTGCCCTTCCCTTAATAGAAAAGTAAGCAAGCATACAAACATGGTGAAATCCACAGCAACATACAAAGCCAAGTTACAGATTACAACCCGGCAAAATAAAACCATTTGAATTAAGTAGTTTAAGTGTCACAGCCCTGACCAAATGCATTAAAGTAATAGCTTCAATTGGTCAAAGGGTCTAGGGAAGCATGTCAATATCATCATCTTCCTACACAAACATGGTACCAGAATAGCCAATTTGCTTAACAGATGACTGCTCAAACACATCACCATTACAGAGAAGGAGAAGGGAACACGTAAACATCCAGTCCGTGCAAAACAATAAATATATATCAAAGATTACAATAAAATGAGGTTTTTGAAATCATGTCCCCTCCAGAACATTACTTACATGAAAACAATAAGAGCCTGTTTAATTCGCTGATTCGAGTTGAAATGTGACAGCTTTTTATTGTAACAAAAAAGTTAGATGTGACTTTTTGTGAGAGCTTTTACTGTAACAAAACTCGAATCGGTGAAATGAACAGAGTCTCAAATTTCACAAGGATGATGGTAATGGAGGAGCTCTGTTAATCTTGTCATCTTCCGACACAAAGTTGGTAGGGGAACACAAATTTGCTTTATAGATGACATAAATTACAGAACCATAACTCAAAATATAGAAGATTGTAACAACCAACAACCCATCAAATGACCAAAAAGCTATAACTAAACTAAGTTGTAATAAGGCGTCAGAAATCATGACCCCTCCCGAACGATACTACATGAAAACAACAAATTTCACGAGGATAACGGTAAGGGAGAAATTCTGTCAATCTTGTCAACTTCCGACACAAAGTTGGCAGTGAAACACCAATTTGCTTTATAGATGACATAAAATTACAGAACCAAAACTCAAAATAGAGAACAATGTAACGACTAAATTCCAATCAAATTATCAAAAAACTACTATTAAACTACCAGAAGCTGTTTCTGGCGCATAAATCAAAATTAAGAACTATAAAGCACCACACCAACTTACTAGAACTATTTCGGACTTTGGAGCATTCAATCATTATAACAAATCAAATCAGAAGTCAAATTGATATCTTAATCACCCACTGAAAAAATTAAATAAATAAAAACAGAAATGAAAAAAAAAAAAGAACTTGGGATTATACCTACGAACAGCGAGACCACCGAGAAGCTTGTAACGAAGAGACTCTGCCTGAGCAATGGCGCAAAGCCCTCTGTTGTTCACCTTCTCGGCGTAAAGCTCCACGCTGTTCTCTGGGAACTTGAACCTCTTCTGCACAACAGAAGTAAGCTCTCTGATTCTCCTCCCCTTCTCACCTGCAAATTCATCAAATAAACACGTTAATAAAAAACACTCGAAGAAAAAAATCGATCAAAAACAATAAAATACGACGGAATCGGAGACTAACCAAGAACGTTCTGAGTTCTGGTGGCTCTAATTATGATCTCAGTTCTCATGGGCGTAACCCTAACCTCGACGCCGGAGTAACCGTCCTCGGCGAGCTCTCTGGTAAGAACCTCGTTCAGCTCAGCGAAGAACACTCCATCAGCGACGAACTGTAAGCATTCACCAAATTCAACAACATTTAGAAGAAGAAGAAGCGTAAATGAACCATCGAGAAAAAATGAAAAGAGATTTTCTCGGGAAACAAACGGGGGTTAAAGCTATGACCTTTCGCTTTTTGCTCATCTGAGTTGCCATGATTGCGGCGGCGAGAAGCGATGCAGAACTTGCAGAGACGAGATCTGATAAGAGACGAGCTGGTGGCTTAAGGAAGGCGGGTGCTCTGCAAACCCTAGACGTCTCAAGTTAAGGCCTTTGAGGAGAAGAGGATGATTATATGCATTAAGAGGAGAATGATCGGACGGTCGATATTTGTTTAGCATTTAGTCATCGGACGTGGGAGATCTACTCAATTTGTTTTTGCAAAGGGTACGACCCAAAGGACTAAGCCCGTAAGCGAATCTGCCCTGGCCCAATAAGGCCTTTTTAGAGTTGTAAACAAAACGGGCTGGCCTGACAACAAGAATTTGAGCCCAACACCTTAACACTCAGTAGCCGATTTCCAAACCAAATGTCGGGATCTTGGGTCTCTTTAAGATAAAATTGTGTCATGCTACCACTTTTTCTTTTTTGACTAAATGCTACAACTTTTACATGTCTTCACATTTATGCCATAATTTTTTGGGTAATCTTTACACTCAAAGTATATGGATCATAATTTTTATTATTTATTCTTGATTCATAATTTATTTAGTCAAATAATTATACTAATAAAATGGTCTTTATCAAACTCATGCACTTTCAAGAATAAATTCTCTATTTTTTCTAATTTTTTTGTTGTTCGGATTCATATTACGATATGTTGATCTTTAACAAATCTATTTATATAGCACAAAGTCGAAACTTTAGGACGCGTTTAAAACTCATTCCAAAATGATTTTATTTTTTGTATGAAAATAAAAATGAAAACGTTTTCAATCTCAAACAAAAATCATTTTTGAAAATACGTTTGGTAGTTTTATCAAGATATTATTTTCAGTATAAAAAACCCATTAATGTCTCTCTCTACTCGAGAGAGGAGAAAACGAAAATAAAAAATGAAAAACAACTAAAAGTCGTTTTTCATTTCTCTCTCATTTTATACTAAACCAAAAAATCGTTTTCATTTCAATTTTTTGTCTTTATTGCGTCAAATACTGTTTTGAAAACGTTTTTATTTCTTCTTTCTCAAAAAACATAAAAATAAAAACATGATCAATTCCAAACACGACTTTAATATCGCTAGAGATAATTCACAAAATGGCCATTTTTAGACTCCATGTTTAGAATATATTTTTTACGTCACAATATTGTCTAATTGTCCATGTAATGATTATTGTCTAATTGTCCATGTAATGATTATTGTCTAATTGTCCATGTAATGATTATTGAGACAATATTATTATACCCTTTTGTGTGAGTGGTTATAAATCTGCATAACTCGTTTAAAGGGTCGTTATCAAAAGATAAAAATATCACAATTTGTTGGCATTCGTTTTTTCATCCCCTAAAAATGGACGCATGCGTAATTATCTCATATCTCATATTGTTATATACATGTGAAACTACGTCTTTTGATGGCATTCCTAATGGTTGCATCACAGGACCAAGGCCCAAAGTTTTTTTGCTAATCAGCCAAGGCCCAAGTGCACGAATTAAGATTTCTATTTTACTCTTAATTAATAATCTTTTCAGTCAAACAATAAAATTTGTTTGCTAATCATCCAAGGCCCAAAAGTTCGTTCTTATCCCTTAAAAGTGCACATATCAAGTTTTCTACTTTTACTCTTGATTAATAATATTTTTAATCAAATAACTATACCAGTAAAAGAGTATTAATTAAAAATAAAAAATAAAAATTCAGACTTACGCACTCTTAAAAGTATATTATGCAATTTTTTCTTTTTTTTTATTTCATATTTGAGATAAGGAAAAAAAAAAAAAAAAAACAACAACGCCACTCAAGATGGTAAAAAATTATTATTTATGTCACTACACTTAAAAATAAACAATTATCATTTAATTAATAAAAAAAACAAAAAAACATGATGGATAAATACATTGATGGGACAATTATACCGAGACCACATAATGGAAGGCGTATGGGAAGATACCATGATCGCAACTACAGGTCTATGGACCAACCAAGATATGATCGACAAGGAGGGGGACCAATGCCAAATCCGCACCGGAGAAATTCTCCCCGCGGTCATCAAGGTGGACGGATACCGAATCAGCAGCATGGCAATCCCATGCACGGTAAGAAACTACGGACCTACACAAAACTATCCGTCCTAAGAGAACAATGGTTTCTTGGGATAGGGAGAAATAAGAGATACTATGCCAATGAATGCTCATGCTCCTGGCAGTGGGACTCTTTACCAGCCATGAAACTACAACCAATATGAGCAAGGAAACTTTTCGACTCAAGAATAGAGGCAATGGGAGCTATCATATTAGAGGAACTATGCACCATCAACTAATTTAATACATCCTCCGTTAATGCCCTAGTGACCGTTCGATTCTAATTAATGGCATGTCATATCAAAAAAAAAATTTTTTTTTTCAGAATTCGAAAAACTCAAAAGAGAAGTAAAAAAAAAAAATATCGAAAAGACTTGGATAGAAAAATCTTCTTCATTCATTTAGATCCATTATTCTTCGCATTATTCTTTTCATTTTTATCAATCTGTTGTGTGTCAGGAATAAGAGAAACAATATTAGGGATACCCTTCATTTGATCCATATCTTTATTTTCTAATCGAACGACCAAAACATGGTGCTAAATAAGAAACGATAAAAAGTACATGCCGGACTCTTTGGGCTTATTCTTTTAGAGTGTAACTTGAGTGTAGTTTTTGAGTTGAATTTGAGTTATAACTTGAGTTGAAGTTGTAACTTGAATAAAGTTGAATAAATTTGAAACTTAAAAGAACATGAACTTAAATAAAGTTGGAACTCGAGTTATCTTTTTTTAAGTTTTTTAGACAAAAGAACAACCCCTTTATGATTCCACGGATAAATAGCTTGTTTATTTATCGAGTAGGAAGGAGTGGATTTGATGGTTCTAAGATTGATAATTCATGCTCTTTTCTAGGTTGGGAGTTGGGATTTCCAATCTTAGTCTTAATATTAAATAATTATCCTACCCTCCAGGATAATGTTAGATGAAAAGAAAAATAGTGAAAGAATATAATTACAACATATATTTATTTTTATATTATAATAATTATCTTAATTGTTGTTAATTTTATTATAATTATACAATTTACATTTCATTGGAACAAAATAATATATTTGAACTCTTGACACTTTATTTTAATTCTTTTCACTCATTTAGATCAATTTTTACCATATTCTTAATTTAAAAATAATAATTACATATATTTTGTACTATTATTTTATTGTCCAATTATTATAATATTTCTTTTAACTATCATTAACATAATTATAATAAGTATAGGATTTACTTGTTCAAAGTGAAAAGGCAAAATTACATAATTATAATAAGTATAGGATTTACCTGTTCAAAGTGAAAAGGCAAAATTACCAAAAGAGTTGATAAGTAAATTTAGATAGTTAATTATGATTTTAAATTGAAGTAAACATATGAATGAAATTTACAGTAGCTTCGATGGTGAATCTTATAAATAATTTATTTTGAGTATAAATTCTCACTACGAATCATACTCTCTTTGATTAGTGTAAGTAAACACGCTATAAAACTTTACCAGCTGTTTATAAAATAATAATAATAATGATTAAAAAAAAAACTCAAGTCCCTCGTACATCAATCTTTTGTTATTTATAAAAGCTAATTTTAGTGAAATTGGCAATTTCAACCAATCATATAATCCCATTAATACCATAAACTTTAATTAACCTTCCACCTTTGGCGTATATAAATATATATATATATATATTTTTTTTTTTTTCTTTTGAAGCAAATTAGTGTATATAAATATAAGGATTATCCAATACGAAAAGGACATTATCTCAAAGTAGGGTTAGTTGAAATCGGAGTTTATGAACATTAACATCATTGTCACGTTATGGCTAATATTGTTATTAGGCCATAATTAGCCATTTTCAAGCATCTATAGGTGTTTGTTATTATAGTGTGATTAGTGTAATTGGGTCCAACTAATGATGGAGATGCCTATAGCCTATCTATTGGATATCCACCATTATATTTATTATTAAATTAAATATAGGTTGAAAGGGGAAAACTAGACTTTGGGTTACTTTCCAACCTATTTGCTGGAAATTCAAGGAACAAAAGGGAAGAGAGAGAGAATGGGCAAAAAGTAGATTCCCTATCGCACATGTTATTTTTATGGCAATGTTTAGTTTGTCTTGGCTTCTAGCCACTTTGATCATTGCTTTCAACAACAAAAAAAAGCATATCCGATATTGTATTTATTTATTTAAAGTCTAGTGGCTCTAGTACGGTATTATTTTTGTTTGATCCAGCGGAACTCGGCCAAGATTTCTTTTAGCTGTATCTGGGGCCGGTTTAGTCTTCTTGTCCATGCCGGTGTGATTAATTAAAGACTATAAACTATTTCAACTCATTTGGATTTGATTTATAAACTATTTGTATTTTATTATTATTGTTATCATTATCATCATTATTATTATTATTATTATTATTATTTTGAGGAAATTTAACATCATGACAACAAGATTTTAACGCCTAATCAAAAACACAATTTCATATAGCGTTGTAATTAAATTTTGTTAATATCTGAAACTAACCAAAATAACAATCTCGGAGTTGTAAAATTATATAACCAATCTAAATTAAAAAAAAAAAAAAAAAAAAAAAAAAAAAGGAAAGCACCTTGTTCTTTTTTAAAAAAATAAAAAAAATACCGAAACTAAGTAGTAGTATATTATGTTCTCAAAGTGTCTATTTATGTTTCCGGAAACCTTACATAAGGAATGAAAGTCCAAAAGGAAGCACCTGGTTTTGTTGTAATTATTGACAATGTATTACGTTCTGCGCCTTTTTTTTTTTTAATTAAAATTAGAATGTTTCACAAAAGTCGTTAAATCATCAATGTCCGTTTTAATTAATTCTTAAAACTTCCTTTTCCCAATTCGAGGCAAATAATTGACTTTAAAACAACTATTGCTAATTTGCTTTATAAGTCAATTGTGTGTTAATTGCTCCAAGTTAAAATTGTTTGATCTGTTGAAATGTGAATACCGAATAGTCACATAAGAAACGTATTTCACAGCTCAAGCCTCAAGAGAATCTTTGTTTCATATACTTAAAAAAAAAAAAAAAAAAACCACTTACAAAATATGGTTATTTCAAATAATTAACTACCATATTTTAAAACTAATGAGTGTCCACTTTTAAAAGTTGTTACACTTTTTTTTTCTTTGAGCGTTTCATTCGAATTTACTGGTGGATTTGATTGTTTCCCAGCATCGTGGTTTTTTTTTTTTTTTTTTTTGTAGTTTGTGTGAGTATTCAAGTCGTTAGAATGTATTATCTCATTCTTAAAAAAAAAAAACAAAACAAAAAAAACTGAAAAATGAGATAGGAGAAACAATATCAGTGATATATTAATATTCTTTTTGTCATTAACAATTCATTGAACGCAAATGCTTGGAGGGCGATTCATTAAAATGTTTCAATGGTGGGTGAAGAATGATTTTGAAGTGGATTTTGGGACGCAAGTTCTTCAGTCAAGTCAAGCATGGAATTACCTAACAACATGATATTACTCCCCATATATATATATATATAGTTTTCTTTGAAAGAGACTCTTGTGCCCATATTTTAGTTAAAACGTCTTCTTTCTTTGTCCAAAACAATGGACTAGACTTGGACACTAGGTCTAACCCACTTTCTACCTCCGGTTCCTCCCAACTTCCCTTTCAATATACAGTAATTCTATTAAATGCTTCAAAGTATAACCTATATATAGTTTCATTTTACTCTCATAATAAACCTAAAAGCCCTTTCACTCCACCAAAACAGTTATCTTCTCAGCTAAATTTGATCAATAATGCTCAGCACTGCTTGTTTTTAAACTAGCAACATTCTATTTTACTGCATGTTTGGACTAAGAATTTAGTGGTTTATAGTTTTTTTCTTTTATTTTCTTTTTTTATTAGGCAGTGGTTACTAGCCATTTAGCTTAGTAGGGTCATAACTCTAGACAAACCGCGCTTCTCTTTTTTTTCTCTCTCTTTTCCTTTTTTGTTAAAAGGAGATAAACGATCTGAAAAGAAAAGACAGTGTATTTAGATGATTCTAAGAAAATAGTGACATAATACTCACTTACGAAATAAATTATCTATTTATCAAGTTCATTGCGCTTGTTGAGCTAACTTGAATCATAATTTTATAAAGAAAACCAAGCCGCTTTTTACCACTTCACGATCAAATGAACAGTGTGGAGGCAAAACATGCTACATTCACATTGAAAAATGCTATCATCAATCTCTTTGTTACTCTTTTTATCACTCTCTAATTTCTCCTTTTGCCACTTGTCTTTTAATTTTTCCATAAAAATGTAACAAAACTCTAAACCATATTTTTACTATTTATTACAAACATGTAATCAAATAACAAGTTTTTCGTTTAGCAAAAAAGAGAAAGAAGCTCTCAACTATAGTAAACTACTTTTTTTTTTTTATTGTTTAAGTTAAATGGTTGTTTCTCTTTTCAAAAGAAAAAATAGAGAAGAAAATCCAAAAAAAATTGGTCGATAAAAATTAAGTTCGTCATATGTTCTTTTTTTAAGGACAAAAAAATTGTTATTTTGATTCTTCTCTTTATCTAGTTAACATTTTTCAAGTATTAGATGATGTAAGTTATTGTAGATATCGTTCAGTCTGAAAATTTTAATTTTTTAAATTTATTTAGTTGCAAAAACAATAATTATTCAATTTATGAGGGAAAAAATTTAAAAGGAAAGCTTAGATTTTTTAACGAGGTTAGAAAATTTTAACTATAAAATAAATTAAAAATGGTAAGAAAATGGGTATTGGGGAGCACTAGTGTTACTTTTATTAGCCTTTAATGAATTAACTCTTATTGATAAAAAAATGTACAGCAATAAAAGAATGGCATTATAATTTATAAATAAATGACAAATAAAAGGACAAATTTTGTTTTTATTTGTTCTTTAAAAATGGAGAGACAGGTACTAAGTGGATTCATTTTACGGATTCAAGTTTTCAATTTGAGCTGAGATGTGACATTTTCTGAGAACTTTTTACTGTAGCAAAAAAAGTTAGATGTGACATTTTCTGAGAGCTTTTTACTGTAAAAATCTAAAACTGAAAACTCAAATCGGTGAAGTGAACGAGGCCAAAGAGATTGATCCTAATTTCTTATTTCTCAAGATTATTCCTTAATTCTTTTCTTCCTCTCTCAATCTTTTTTCTTTTTTCTTTTTCTTTAAATTTTTTTTTGGGCTGGAAATGACTTCATTGTATGGAAATTTGTAGATGAAGTATCGCCCTCACCACACATTTTTCAAAATCTAATAAACAAGCCATTTCCAGGAATCAAACCCCATGTGGGCCATCTCCTCCTAATATCAGGAAAATTAGGTTGTACATACAAAGGGGCCCACCAACAAGGACATCTACTCAATCAGAGCAAGAGAGAGGAGATGTTGAGGAATCATCAACTTGAAGCTAGTCGTAAAGGACATTTATTGCATAAAAGGCATAAGAAATTCAAAAAAGAAAAAGAAAATAATAAAATTAAAATAAGAAGGGACTTTTTTTTCAGTGAGATTTTCTTATTTAGAATTAATTTTTTTTACCGTCAAATTTAATTAACATCACATTAAATTAAAAAAATATAAAAAATAAGCATTTTGTAATATAAATTTAACAAATGAAAAGATGACGTTTGGTTGGAGGATTCAAATTATGTGATTCGAATTATTTTTTATTTATGTATATTTTTTATGAGAAAAAATACTGTAACGAATCACAAATTATAATTCAAATCAAAAAATGAATCCATCTATCAAACATCCTAAGAGAAAAATCTCCGATGAAAAAAAGGAGAAGAAAAGAACCTTAACAGAGGGAAGGGGATAAGCATGGAGAAGTTGAGTTCCATCCCAAAAAGAGAACCTTTTGGGTCCCTTGTCATGTTGTTGGGGGTCACTGTTTATACATATCTGTCTGTCTCTAGAAACTGTAGTGCTTGTTTTTAAAAGTAAAACTACCTATGGAATACTTGTTGTTATATAATTTATTTTATTATTACGTGCCAGTACCATCAAATGGATTGTCATTGGTTAGAAACAAATATAAAAAATGGTCAAAAGCTCATCAACTTATCTGAGATTCTGTTCTTGTGGTGGCCTGTGATTGGGAAGCCAAAAAAAAAAAATTATCTCCAAAAGCTGCTCTCACCAATTATTTCAGAGCATCTTTCACTCTTCACAGAGTTGTATGTATCTACGTATGTATAATGTATATGCACTGTATGAATATGTTCACTTCTTCAAAAACAGTCACCTTAAAAAAAAAAAAAAAAAAAAAAAACACACACACACACACACACAAGAAGATCATGAACAGTGATTTATATCAGCTGAAAATAATAGTGAAAAAGTAGGGAGTATTTAATGCTTCCTTGGAGGGGCCTGAAAACAGCATCTTCACTTCTTCAAAGATTTTTTTTTTTATACTCAAATTGAATTATATATATTGAAAAAAAAAAAAAAAAAAAAAAAAACTCTTCACTTGATGAGGTTGAAAACTGCAAAACTAAAGGGCATTGTGGAGTTTGCACCAAAAAGTAAATAATGATCTTTAATGAAAAAGAGATTGGTAGACCCATATCTGATTTCAGTCCCTTTAAGAAACCAAAAAGTTAAAAAAAAGTTCTAAAACTTTTTTTTTTTTTTTCCTTTAAGGAAAGCAAGAAATCCTTTATGAATTTATGACAACGAGATTATACTAAATTCTCTGTAAAGTTTCATAAGCAGATCATAGATTCAAGACAACTGAATTACATATCAGAACACAATCACATGTCTCAAACACTCCAAATATTGATTTTTTTTTTCCCTCCTCTTAAAATTAGATCCATAGTTACACAATATATATATAGTTACAACGAACTGGGAATAATACCGTACAATTATTTTGTTCTAATAAATGTAAGGACAAAGTGAGTGAGCTAGTAATAGTAGTTGTAGCAACAACAGTCACTGATAACAATAAAAGAGTTACAGAATAATTATCTAATCACTTTTTTTGAACCATTGATCTCAACAGCAATAATATCGTTGAATTCCTTTCCAAAAACAAATTGTAGAAAATCAAATTCATCTTCTAATTAAAGCGGCCGATTCCGTTTAAGACCGGCCGCTTTGGCATCGGATTTGAGAGCTCCACTCGAGTCGCCTTCGGAAGAAGCGTCCATGGATTTGGTGAAGGAAGATGAGAGATCAGAGTAAAGGTCAACAACCCTTCTGATATTGTTGTTGAGTTCTCTGATGAGACCCACATTTCTGCTGAGATTGTCAGGAATTTTGGACTCATGGTTTTGGTTTATCTGGTTTATCAGCAATCTGTTCTGATCCAAGATGTTCTGGACTTGAACAAAGTTCTTCTGAAATGTCTGCAATATTTTCCCGTCAATCTGTGTAGTACCATTTCGAAGCCCAGAAAATGTATCGCCTTCCATTGTTTTCTATTTTTCTTTTTTTTTTTATCAGAATTCTATCAAATCAGAAAAATCTCCCTGCAACACAAAAAGAAAAAGAGGGTGAAGAAGAAGAAGAAGAAAAAAAAGATGATGAAATGATCATTATCAGGAGATCATTTTAATATACATTCCATGATATCATTAAAATGAAATATTTTATAAAAAAGTTTTTTAAATAAAAATAAACAAACAGATGAAGGAACACCCGTAATCATATCTTCTTATCTGCACATGCTTACATCAACTAAAAGCTTTAACCCACCCAGACAAAAACATGAACCAAACAAACCCTTTGAATTGTTTAAGGCATAGGTGCATATGAGACAAGTTTTGTGGTAGGAATCATGACCTCCATTTGTTGCTCTTAAAAAAAAAAAAGGATCTGAAAACAAAAAAAAAAAAAAAAATTGTTATAGCTAGTTATTATTGTTGGTACTAATAATAATTACTATTATCGTTGATATTATTAATATTTTCGTTACTATTATTGATGATTATGATGAGATGTGAAAAAGCAAGTCCCATTTCCATAAAAGGGAACCTTTTTTAATGTACTCAGAAAATACCCACCTAAAGGCTAAAGCTCAGAGTTCTAAAGAAGAATCTCAAAGACCCAAAAAAAAAAAAAAAAAAAAAGGGAAAAAAAATTCAGTCAATGATGCAGAGAAGATCAGAGACATTAGGGTACTGCTGCAGAGACAGCATTATTAATCTTTACAAGCAAAAATACAAAATAATTATAGTAGTAGAAGTAGAAAAATAATAAAAATCCAATTAGAATTCAATTGTAAAAATGGGCGTTTTCTCATCTTATCTTAAAAATAAGAAAAAAAATGGAAAATCGAAATATGCTTTTCTAACTTTCAAAATTCAGAAACAGCACAAAACAAGGATCGAATGGGGGAATTCAAACGTTAAAAACCGTACATGAAAGCTTCCCATTTAAGAAGAATAAATTATTGAAGTAAAAAACAAATTAAAAAAAAACCTCATTGAACAATTTTTTTTAAATGAAAAAACAAAGCCCATGTGAAAATACTAAAAGAAGATCCAAACCCACCAAAATCACAGAAGAACAAGAAGAAGCAGAAACAAGGAAGCTGATAAGATCAATGTCTTTGACAAACATAATTAAACAAGCAAACAAAAAACGAACCAACGACTGAAGAAAAAAGAGAAAAGAAAAAGATATTTATTTTATTTTTTATTCATACACGCAAATATTAAATTTGTATATTCGTACCTTGAAAATCTGAAACATTACATTCTGGGACTGGAAGAGACACGGATTGGAAAGGAGTTCCCGAGGAACAGCGGAAAAACAAATAAGGAAGATCGGCGATTGAACCGAATCCTCGGAACAGAAGAAAACAGACCTATCTCTCTCTAGATTCTGAGAATTTTAAGAGAAAGAGTTTTAGAGAGAGAGAGATAGATGGTAGAGAGAGAAAGAAAGAGAGAATATGTAGATTTGACAGTCACACTCGGACCCCTTCCAGTGTATTTGTGTGCGTCTATTCTATTCAACATTAATTTATTTAATATTTATCCACCTGTCTTTGTTATTTCTCGTATTTCTTTTTCTTATCATTTTTGAGTTTTTTTATTTATAAACATTGTGTTAGAATACGTTAAAAAATAAATAAATTTTCGAATAAAACACAATTTTGAACTACAAGATTAAATTGAAATTATAATTTTAAAAAAAAATCTGATCATTCAGAACTGTGTTTATAGATAATATGGAAATTCTGCTTTTTTTTAAAAAAAAAAATTCTGTCTTCTTTGATTTGGTTGAGGATTTTCTGTTGTGTATTGGCTCAGATCCTAACTATGGCTTAAATAATTGGGGCCTTTGATGTCCACGTGGTTATTGATCAATCTTTCAATGACTGCCATGATGTGGGACCCCACTCCTTAGGATATCTTGGAATGTTACTATGTAAAGGTTTACAAGACAATCTTTTTTATTTTATTTTATTTTTTTCATTTGATATTTCCTCAATAGTTTCTCAGTAATTTCTTGTATTACCTTTTTTATTGGGGGAAAGAGATTTCGGCAAAGGGCTTTAATTCTGTCTCATGGGTCTCTTTCTGTCTTTTGCTCTTTGTTTTTATTGTTAATTGGTTTCATACCCAGTTGTCAAAATTGTACAATAATTGGAATTTTACGAAAATTTTTTCAGCCTTTTAATCTTTGTTTTTTGTGAATTCAAAGAGGTCATTATAAATCTAACAAATATTTTTAGGTTTGGATTCTTTTTGTCAAACTCTTATCTCCTAAATGGGCATATCAAACAATATCTGTCAACCTTATTACTTGTTTTTTTGTTAAGTTTGTTAGAACAATGCTCAACTTGATGTCATCGGATTGTCCCTTCAGATTGGGTGGCTTTAATGTGATTGATTTTAGTATTCTTTAACTCGAAATTTACCCCTAAACTAGGATTTGCTTCTACAAAAGAAAAGAATCAAACTATTTCTTTCAAAGCAAAGTGACACGGTCAATAGTTCTCGATCTTATATGCAAGCATGACAATTGTTTAATTACTTCAAAGATTTTAACGAGTAACGACACTCATTTATTTGATATCTTGGTGCAATTCCAATATCTATTTTCATATTTTCAAAATATTTTTATTGAATAAGTTTTATAATATATCAAAGAGTTAAATTAACGAAAGGTCGCCGGAGTTTTTTTTTATAATTTTTTTAATTAGTCTATGTGTAAGAAGTTATATATTAATTTAGTCCCCAAAATACTAAAAATTTATACGAAGTTAATCCCTCTATTTTAAACCTCATTCTATATTTTTCTTAAAACATTTTTCTTTTTTTCAAGTCAAAGTTAAGTAGCATGTTTGATAATTTATTTTTATTTTATGGTTTTTGTTGGGACCCTGTAGATTTGGTGGGTACGATGTGTACAAGGTATACACGTGCAAGTACTAGATTCGGTAGTATCGGGACTGACGCGGATGAACCACATAGCGTTTACATATGAGCTTGTATGGTAAGACCTTTAACAGAGAAGAATTGATCGGTTAGGCCCAAAGTATACCAAAGAAAAATGATTTAAGGGCCTACTTTGTCGCCACCTTACCAAGACGCAAACTTACACATAGGAGGACTTCTAATACAGTCATGGAGATCGCATGGACGAAGTACGGTAGGCGGAGTAACTAGACGGTTGATAGATATTTGACTCTGAGAGTGTGGATAAGACTTATTTAGAGAAGTGCTCCGAGGACAAGTGCAGGTTGCCTCCGGAGTGGATGTATGACTTGATTGGTATGGATAAAGTTATTTGGGAGAGTTGGTGAATTATCACTCTAAAGGAACGCATGTCGCTCCATAAGCAAGTTTTACGGACTTTCAACAGAGGAGGCAAAGTCCACTTCAGAGGAACACATGTTGCTCTAAGAGCATATGTCAGCATATGATGTTTTACGACTTTCCGGAAGTGTGCTCTGGAGCAGCGGAGTCCAGCCACATAGGCGGATTTTCAGACTCCTGGAGAAACCTCAAAAACTTCGAATGTAGGTTGTAGATGAGTTTGGATGGATCAAACAAAGTGTTTTGATACTTTTTTATGATGAACGCTCAAGATTTGGGCAGAGTTTCAGAACTCACTCGAAGATCTTCGAGCCCGTAGAGCACAAGCTTGAAGAACTTAAGCCTTTAGCACAAAAGACTTGAACTCTCAGAAGAGAATCAGTCAGAGTTTTGGCTAAGAAAGAAACCTTCTCAGATGGTCTAATATATGAATGGTCTGAGTGTTGTTATGAAGTGATGGTGAAAGGGGTATTTATAAGAGGAGGTTGGGAAATTTTGGCGGTTGCTCTGGAATCGTACAATCACGCATTGCCAGAGGCTTAAATAAATTATTTCCCTCCGGAGCACCTGCATTAGGTGGCTTTCCTCTTTGACAAAAAATGGCCCGAAAATGGGTATATTTGGAGACTAAGGGTTCGTTTGGTTGGAGGATTCAAACAATGTGATTCGAACCATTTTCGATTTACGTGTATTTTTTGTGAGAGAAAATACTGTAGCGAACTACGAATCATGATTCGAATCAGGGAACGAATCCCTCTACCAAACGCCCCCTAAATCTAAAATTCTTATTGACATAAGACATTCCCTAAGTCTAAAAATTATGAAGTGTTTGACTGAATCTGGTGCTTCGAGGGCGCTTTTATTTTCAGAGGTATGAACACATGTTTATTTTTTTTTTATTATTTTATCAGCGTCAATAACAGGAAGTTGGTGATTCTTCTTTTTCTTCTTTCATTTGGCGGATTAAGGCTCGGAAGATCTATAGCTTCGGATCCGAAGCTAACCAGATACCCGAACCTACTGATTTTCGCTCCCCTGCTTCTTCTCAGTGGCTCTCTGCAGCTGCACAGCTGCAATTCTTTTTCCCTAAGCTGTGGGCCCCACTTACTATCACGCCTCCGCACTACTTAAATAAACACTTGTATTAAACCTCCAACGAAAAAATAATACAAAAAAATTAATGTTAAATAAAAAAATAAAAAATTTTAAAAATAAGGCTACAATATAAATTAAAAATTAGAATGAGTGAGGTGAACGAGACTTAGGAGACGTTTGGTTTATGTATTAAAATAATAAGATTAGAATTATTTTTGATTTTCGTGTATTTTTTGTGAGAGAAAACATTGTAGTGAATCATGAACCATGATTCGAATCAGGATACGAATCCTCTTACCAAACGTCACCTTAAAAGATGTTTGGTTGGAGGATTCAAATCATGATTTGAATCATAATTTATGGTTCGTTATAATATTTTTTCTCAAAAAAAATACACGTAAATTAAAAATGATTTTTATCATATGAATCTAATCTATGAACCAAACGTCTCATTAAAATGGCGTTTGGTTCATGAATTCAAACTATGTTATTAGAATCATTTTCGATTTACATTTATTTTTTATGAGAGAAAATATGCAACAAATCATGAATCATGATTCAAATCAGAGAACGAATCTAAGTACCAAACGGACTCAATAATAGAGTATTTTCTGGACACGCTATCCAACGCTGATGCTTTTGTTTTTCTGACGGTACTTTCGGACACTACAACTCAACACACTTTTTTTTTTTTTTTTTCTGGCTTGAACTCAACACACCACTCGAGCCACTTCTCTCTCTCCCATCATATTTAACACTGCTCCCCCCACGCTGTAGACTTTCGCTCCCTTTTTTAGTTTTTTTGTCCTCTTTTCTTCTTTTTTTTTTGTTATTAAAAAATAGAAAATAATAATAGCAAACAACCATAAGGGTCCATATTAAGCTAATTAAAAAGTAACCATTAGTTCTTATTGTAAAATAGTAAAAATAACCCTGAGTTCCGCAACATTTAGAGATAAGAATAAACATTGACTTATAAGAACATTAAATCACTCGCTTAACAAGTTGATTATTTAAGATGAAATTTTAAATTTTAAAAAAGTCTAATTTCCATCACTTATAATAATATTAATAGCATTTATGTTTATGTTATATATATATATATGGAAGAGTAAACTTGTGTCCTTTTATTTTATATGACCTATTAGTTATAGTTTGTTTATGAAATTTAAATGCGTCTACATTTTTTTTTTTTTTTTGTAGATGATTTTACTTGGAAATAGACAAAGGAATTCTCAAACTAGATCTCATGTTTTTTTGTTTTTTTTCTTTTTTCATATTAAGTGGAGTTTCCATGAGAACCACTCTAATTAGTAAGTGTTAATTTAAAAAATTAAAACAAACTCCTGCTCTTAATTCGCTTATAAATGTTTTATCTTAATATAATTAATAGTCATCCTCGTGTTATTTCACGTTTTCTCAATATATATGCTAAGTTAAATTAGGAAAAGTAATCTTCTAGATCTACATGATTTTATTGAGTATTATGATGAACATGCAGAATAACAAATCAATTTATTCTTAACAATATAAAAGTACTCAATTTATTATTTTTTTAATGAATGACAATAGTTGTATACGGTTATTTTAGTTTATTTCTGTCTCATTCAACTTCTGCTAAGGTTCAAGCAAAATAAAATAAAAAAAAATCTGCTAAGGACAGGACAAAATTCTTATTTCTTTTTTATTATTTTATTTCCTTCTATTTCAGTTACTGTAAAAATGGACATAGGCCCGTTCACTTTGCTAATTCGAGTTTAAAATTTGAGTTTTTTTATAGTAAAAAGCTCTCACAAATAATCACATTTAACTTTTTTACTACAGTAAAAAGCTCTCACATAAAATCACATCTCAACTCGAATTCTAAACTCAAATCAGCGAAGTGAACGGGGCAGCCTAAGAATAATAAATAAACACAAATATAATCTAATTATTATAAGAAACTATGGTCTCGTTCATTTCACCGATTTGAATTTTCAATTCTAAGTTTTTACAGTAAAAGCTCTCAGAAAATGTCACATTTAACTTT